GTCCATAGCAACATCGGCCCTTAAAGGGCCGGTTCTCACTTACTGCAGGCGGAGAACCCGCCTGCCAGGACGGACAAGCCAAGGGGGGGAAAGCTCTCGGGTGGGCCCCTTGGGCCCACCAAATTGAAGAGAAAGGTTGTGGTGTTTGCCCTAGGGGTAATGAGGGGATTTTGAGGGGTTCATGGGAAAGTTAAAAGTGAGTTGGGGTGGCTTTTTGGAGGGATCTCATTTTGGTGGCTGTTTTAGTTTTCTTTTTCTCTAGGGCTTGGGAGAAAGCTTCTCTTCTCGAATTGAGAGCATTGTATCCGTGGAAACTTGTAAGTCTTTTAATATTCAAGTTATTGAAGTGTTTGTGAGTGTTTTCATCCAAGAAATTTCGCATTTTTCCATCGTTTTTGGGCTGTTTTGCTTGGATTCCGAAAATTACAAATCAAGGTCCATCAGTTGCTTAGGCTCATGTTTGGTAATTGGATGTAAATTTAGTTGAACAATGAAAGGTTGGACGATGCAAGATCAAAATCATATGTTTCCATCATCTCAGGTATATCAGCAGACCAAATTAGCCAAAGTTTTTTTTAAAAAAAATTGGCCAAAGTTAGAGGGCTACAAGTCGTACGGGTTATGAATCGTAACATCCAGGAGCTTAAATAACAACTATAAGTTACCTAATCTTAAATAACCTGAGCAAATTGGGATGGAAATGTATGTCAATGATGTGCTATCAAGATTAACATCAAATCATTCATTGGTATAGGGCAGGCCAATCCATTTTTTACTGAATAGTTTAGAAACACAAAGCATGGATGATTGTTTTTAAGAGGAACTAGACGTGACTAATAATAGCTCAAAGGAATGGTATAAACATCATGAGTTTCAGCATAAGTTGAAAAAACATGTCTAAAACATGTGAGATTATTAATTTAGGCGTGCTAGAGACAAGAAATAGATGAACTAGATATATGTATGAATGTCTTAATTGAAAAATAAGAAGAGAATATACATCCCATCATCTGTCTAAGTATCTATTAAATGTGGGTTTAGTTGGTGAACTGATTCTGATATCTTGGACAGTTAGCATAAGAGGCGACCAAACTTTCATTTGGGATGGGGCTTACATCCATTTGAAAGTCCATAAGTAGATCTTATAGGCTTGAGGATATGAGAAAAGCTCGATGACATGTCTTATGGCATTACCTATAACCCTATAGGTTAGGTGACCTATTTAGATTAATTTAATGAGC